GGAGAACTTGTTGGACCTTCAAGGGGATCTCTCCGTCGTCTCAGCCGCGTGCCTGGCTCCGCTCCGCCCCCAAGCGCCGCGCCATGATCCAGGGTGGGGCTGCGGGGGGGTGCTATGGGGACGCCCGGTATGTTTCTGCTGGAGGCTGCCAGCTGCTCGCAGGACCAGCGTGTGAACAGAAAAGACTCCGGCGGCCGGCTAACGCACTTGTTGGACCTTCAAGGGGATCTCTCCGTCGTCTCAGCCGCGTGCCTGGCTCCGCTCCGCCCCCAAGCGCCGCGCCATGATCCAGGGTGGGGCTGCGGGGGGGTGCTATGGGGACGCCCGGTATGTTTCTGCTGGAGGCTGCCAGCTGCTCGCAGGACCAGCGTGTGAACAGAAAAGACTCCGGCGGCCGGCTAACGCACCTCAGCCTGGGGGCATGTCAAGTACGGTTTCACCGCCCTGGACTTGCCCTTCAGCTCCGTTTCCCCGAGTTTGGCTTTGAAAAAAGGCCACTGACGTTTCTACATGTCCTAATTTGGCTAATTGCTGGAGCGACTGAGTGGGGGAGGCAACCAAACTCCCAGAAACTAAATTATCTTGTAGAACTTGAATGTTAAGTCAATGCTAGCAAACGATCATCGTAATAAAAAAGCAAGACACGTTAACCCATGCGGTGGGTTTTAAGATTCCTTCCTCTAGTACAGACTATTGATGTCACATTTCCTTTGGGGACTCGTTTTCCATAGGTTAGTAGATATGATTACAAGTGGAAAGTGATTTGTAATGTTCGGCCAAGTTTTTTTTACCTTTCTTAACTGTATATTTTTAAAGCTTCATGGGGTAAAAAACAACAAATAGCCTGGTAGCACGTTAAAGACTAACAAAACATGTCGATGATGTTTTGTTAGTCTTTAAAGTGCTATCAGACTGCTTGTTGTATACTTTTAGAGAGTCACTCTTTAGTATCTGCTGAAGAAAGTACTAAAGAAGCATTGATTTACTTTGGAAAAGTACTTTGGGTTAAATGCATTGCATGCGTAATCCTGTGGCAAAAGTTCTGCGTGCAGCTCAAAGCTGGCTTTTTTTTTTTTTCAGCGACAGTTGTGCTTTGCAAACTTACCTGTAGCCTATTTTTTCTTATCACTTTTGTTGTTTGTGAATTTTACTGCTTTCAGACTTCATCCCACCGCATGTCCTCAGTTCATTTTTTAAAACTGAATGTCACTGTAGTTTCTACCCATAGTTCTACAAAACTGTAATGGAAACATACCTAGCAGCCTGCATGTTAACATGGGGGAAGGGAAACCAGTGATATATGTAAGCTCTTATGGTAACAGATAAACACATAGTTAGGACAGTTCTGCCCCCCTCTCTCCTTCCCTTCTCCTCTCCCCCCTCAGTTCATTTTTTAAAACTGAATGTCACTGTAGTTTCTACCCATAGTTCTACAAAACTGTAATGGAAACATACCTAGCAGCCTGCATGTTAACATGGGGGAAGGGAAACCAGTGATATATGTAAGCTCTTATGGTAACAGATAAACACATAGTTAGGACAGTTCTGCCCCCCTCTCTCCTTCCCTTCTCCTCTCCCCCCCCCTAACCTGTGCATCTTGCTGGTGGAACCTTCTCACCTGAAGTTGGTGGCTCTCTTTGGGACACTTTGGTGCATTTTCAGAGTGCCATCTATCCAGGAAGTACAGATAATTTTATCCCTTTGGAGCAAGGCAACGGAAAAGAAAGTTAGGGAGCATTGTGAAGGGCTCAGCTACAAGCCAATATCTCAAGGAACTGCATTTGTCATTCTGAAGCAGTGACTTCTCAAATTTTCCTTTTTCTTATAGCTTCTATTTAATCAGTGAGAGAATATCAGTACTTTGGCTGTTTACACTGCTAAATACAAATCTGTATTTGTTGTAGTCATGTTTGTGCTAAAGTCAAAGGGAAGACAGTAGACCCCGTTGCAGGTTCATTGTAAAGCTCTAGGAAATCAGGTCAGATGTGGCTCAAAGTCAGTCAGGTCTGGGTACAACTTTATGTATTTTTTTCAAAAAAGAAAGAATCTATTTAAAAAACATCAGCTTTCAGACTTGCTCCTTTTTTTTTCTCTGCCCTCATCAAAAAGTTCCCCTCAAAAATCCACATAATACCTTTTTGATTATTAATGCTATATGCAAACTACTAGTGATAGTGAAAATAGGAAAATAGAATTATGTGAGTAAATATAGTATTGGCACGGAAAACACAATTGCATGTGCTTATTTTGACCTGCAAACACATGTAAAAGCTACACACTGCTTAGCTTTCAATGGAAAGTTATAGGTAGCTAACAGGAGGCAACAAAACAGTCTTTTTTCCTTAGTACCTCTAAGGCTACAAAGATTTTTCGAAAGAGGATATGCAATTTCTGTGGGAAAGTCTGGAATGCAAATTTTTTTTAAACCTTTTGAAAAACCAAAAACCCCCTTTTTTTTTTTTTTTTTTTTTTAAGAAAGAGAGAATGAATTAAGGCTCTGGACCCATTCCATTTCCCTGAGTTCTTTCAAAAATGTGATCAGAAGAAGATATGCAAATTCCCACAATTTGCATATCCTCTTTCAAAAAATTGTTGTGGTTTAGACGTACCGTGAGGCAGAGACAGGCTATGTCTACACTGCCGGGGGTTTTTTTGGCAGAAGATATGCAAATTGCACTCTCATTTGCATATCTTCTACCGAACCTTTTTACAGGAGAGGTTTTGCCGATAATCCCTTATTCCTCATAAAATGACAGAGATGCTGAAAGAATGTGCCCACTTTTTTGGAAAAAAGCTGACGTGTTTCCTTGATATAGCAGAGTTTTTTCAGGATGCCGCCGGTATCCTGGAAAAACACTGCAATCCAGACATAGCGACAGTCTCTTACTGTGTGTGCACAGTGCCTAGGACAATGGGGATCTGAATCCAGAACAGGGCCTCCAGGTGCTATTGTGATACAAATAACTAGTGAGAGAATCCATATTTTCATAAACATGTCCTGGGATAAAATAAGATTTTGACCCTCAAG